GGAGAAAAACAGAAAGAATAATAATAACTGTTTGACTTTATGTTTTAAAACCTGTCTGGATGCTTTGGTGTATACGCACCTGTACATGTCTCCTGCAGAGCGCTTCACTGTCTTGGATCTGTGAGGCTTCGGCTCGCCTGCCAGGTTGATGTCTGAGGGAGGAAAAACAAAGGGCGAGTTAGCATTGTTAGGAGAATTGTGTTACGGACAGTAAGTGTGAAATTTCAATTAACACGTTCAGTCGCTCCTTCCGCTCCATCTAATGTTATTTTATTTTGAATGTCAGCTGGGATCAGCTCCAGCCCCACCAGCGATCCTGTGAAAGATAAGAGGGCATAGCTAATGGATGGATGGCAGTTTATACCCCTACCAGGAGGCATTAGCAAATACAGCGCTGCTGTGACCTGGAACAGCAGTTATAGGAAATGGAATATCTCCATTAAATATAAACGTATTAAATATGATTATGTAGTGCTGGCTAAAGCTTAATTCTTACTATACAAGCATAATCTTCCCAACTCCTGGCAAGAACTCAAATAAGCATTTTTACCAAAATGTGGAGGTATTTCATGAGGTTTAGGTAGTTATAAAACACAGTAAATGTTAGAAACCCCAAAAAATACACAGTTATGAAGCTTTTCCTTATTTAAGTAAAAAAAATGGCTGGTTTGGTGAAGATTTGCATGTCTTTTTACAATACAGCATTACAGGTTCCAAATCCTGCAGAATCCTTATATTAACTCTGCAGCTCCATCACTGCAGTTCTGCGTTACCCATGACCCCCTCCACCTCACCTAAGACCTGTCCCACGATCATGCGACCGTCCTCTCCAGCCACGGCGGCCCTGGCGTTCCTCTCATTGGAGTACTGGACGAAGGCGTAGCCCTTGTGGACAGAGCAGCCGACGATTTTTCCATACTTGGAGAAGATGGCCTCCACGTCGGCCTTAGTAACCAGCAGGGTGTTGAGGTTGCCAATGAAGATGCGGGAGTTGATGGAGCGGGGGTCAGTCTTGTTGGTCACGTTGCTGCTGGCCATCAGGCTGGAGGTGGAGGATGATGACCAGCTAGACAGGTGGAGGGAGTGGGTACAGGCAAGGGAGAAGAATAGGTGGAGAAGATGTGAGAGACTGCAGAGAAAGGGTGGAGGACTGATTTTTAAGGAGACAAGAAGTGGTAGAAGAAAAAGAGCTGAGAAACGTATAGAGCTATGTATAGTATATACACATACAGTGGGTACACCTTTGTTATATTGCAGCCATATGCTAAAATCATTTAAGTTCATTTTTTCCTCATTAATGTACACACAGCACCCCATATTGACAGAAAAACACAGAATTTTTGACATTTTTGCAGATTTATTAAAAAAGAAAAACTGAAATATCACATGGTCATAAGTATTCAGACCCTTTGCTCAGTATTTAGTAGAAGC